GGATGGGGTAGGGGGAGGGGTATACCCCTCCCCGAAGGGGAAGAAGGGAATGGAAGAGGAACCTCCCTAAACTACCCACGCCCAAAGGGTCGATGGGAGTAAGGATTGGCCTCGGAAGAGCGAATCTGTCACAAGTTACACGGGGGTGCGGCTTTGGGTAGGTGAATCTGCCGTCAGTTACGGGAGATTGTGGCCTCGGCAACGCAAATCTGTTGTAATTTGTTTGTGATTGTGGCGCGGACAAGCCGTGATGTGTAGAGATTTGTGGTTTCTTGAGCGCGACTCTGCATGCAAAACCAAGAGACCAAGTGTCCTGGCCAGCCCAGCCAGCCAGCAGAACCCGACCAGCCAACCATCGAACCAGCCAGAAAGGCACCCAGCCAACCCGCCAGCCCCCGCCTGCCCTCCGTCACCACCGAGAGGGGGAGGATCGGGCGGGGCTAGGACGAAGATGAATCCGTTCCAGAGCGTTCCGGAACGCTCTCAGATCTTTCCGGAACGCTTTGAGAAGGCTGCGGCGCCCGACACATCCTCTAGAGTCACTGGATCTCAGAGATTCTCGATTGTCCCTCACCCGAATGTGTCAGCGTCCTGGCTTCGTCTTAGGGGGAAGCGTTTCGCACCGGCGAAAGAGAAGCAATCGCCCTCCCGCTCGGCAGGACCCGCTGGAGGAGGGGAGTTCGCACCGCAATATGTGGCGGGTGGGGCTTCCCTCCGAGGAGCGCCCAGATCGGTTCGGGCCTTGAAGTGCGGCCTTGGCGTCATTTTTGTTACCATTCGCCGAGTTTGTTTTATCCACCGAAATGTTTGCAGACGGTCGGACCGAGAGATAAGATCGAGGTCGCTTCGGGGAGGGTAACCTAATGTTTTTCGCGCTTGTTGGACGTTTTTGTGCATCTTGGGGGAGGGCACCCTCGAATGTTCTGTGTGTTGGAAGGCGGAGGGCGTCATGTTCTTGATTGGGCGTCGCGTGATAGGGGGGGCGGTAACTGGGGGGCAGCGAGGGCTGCAGACAAGGGCCCTTCGGGGTCCCTAAAGGTACCCCCAGGGTCAAAAAGGGGGCTTTGGGGCCTTTGGGATCCAGAAAGCCTTGGTCCTCCGTCCATTCGCCGCGGGTCGGCCACCAAAAGTTACGTTATCCCAGCGAAGGACCCAACCATATGCAACCGTGCGTACCGCAAGGCAGGAGGTGCAAAGGAGGGAGAGCTCACTATGAGGGCACGAAAACTGAGGGTGTGCCGAAAAGGGCGAGGAGCCGCATGTGGACCCTGTCACTGGGGCCTTAGGTGGAGCCCTATGGGTCTCCTTGGCGTGTGATGGGGCTATAAAGCGTGTGAGGGGTGCGCCGAAGTGGGGCGGGGCTGCCATGCAAGTGTTGCCCCGGGGGTTTTCGGTGGAGCTCCCTATGGGGCCACGAAACGTGTGAGCCGCCATGCGAATTTTGCCATGGAAGCGAGGGCGTGAGCGCCCTCGCTTCCAGTGCAGCGTGCCGCGCGGGCGGCCCGCGCAAGCCACCGCGTATGAACGTTATGCCATCTTGCTTGAGACCCGCTTCTTGTCGTCGCTCATCTGCCTATAAAGAAGATGCGAGGGCGCGGCATTCTATGGCAGCCTCCGCGTGGTGGGTTCGTTTGCCCGGGGTGCGGGCAAGATGTGCATCCATGTGCATTGCATCTTGGAGTTGCGGCCTCCCTTCCCCAGACACCCGAGGCACAGTGGATGTGGATAGTAAGAACATGGTCCCTAAAGGTCAGAGCGTTTCGGCCGTACCAGCGGTTGTGGCTTCGGGGATGCGCGAGCACGTAGGAAATTACAATTGGTTGTGGCGCGGGGAGCGCGACGTCGCTGTTGCTTGCGAAGGGGCTGTGGCCTCGCAGGGCTCAGTTCGACTCCGACTCGATTCGGATCGGTTTCGATCGGTTCCGATTCCGATTAGAGTCGACTTCTCGTCGGTGAGCGAGGGGGGGAAGTGAGAAGGAGAAGGCCTTTTCAGAAGTCGGCGGGCTTCTGAGAAGTGTCCTGGCCGTCCGAGACGTGATCTGTGTCTTCAGGGAGGGCTCAGAAAACTTCACAGAAGGCCCAGGGACTCCCGAGCCTTCTGAGAAGGCCCGCCCCTTCTGACTTCCCCCCGGGCTCGCCGCCGAATTCTGACTTCGGTTTCTCAAATGGGGGCCGTACTAGCCTGCCGATCTCCGCCGATTCGGCTTCTCCCGACTTGGCTGCCGATTTCCGCCGATCCGATTCATGTCGATTGCCGATCCGGCTTTTCGATTCGATTCTGGGCACGCCTGCCTCGGGAGCTCGAGAGCGACGTAATAATTGACGAGGGATTGGCCTCGGGCCGCGAAATTAGCGTACCTCTGCGTGTCCCTGGGCACCCTCGTGAAGTTCTGGGAACCCCAAGTTTGGATTGTTAACGGGGAGGTTGTTTTGGCTCCCCCATGACGCGGGCTTCAAACACACGTGGGAACTAGAAATAGAATCCCCCATTGCGCGAACAGGCTCCCAAGATAGCCCAAGGGGGCCCGAGGAGGACCCTCAAGAGGCCTTGTGTATGCCTTATCCTCCTTCTCCTTCTCGTCCTTCTCCTCTCCACCGCCCCCTCCCTCTTTCGCGCAGTGAATTATGTCATCTGTCTGGCGCTGTTCTTTCTCGTGGCGATCGTGGTCTACCCGCAGCTGCTGGTCATGGTTTGCGTGTTCTCCGGGCTCTGGTACGCACTGCTCACAAGGCAGGGGCGATTGCCGGCGGGGTTTCTCATCATAGATATGTACTGGACCATTCGATCAATCAGCGAACGCTAGACGTTAAGATAGATTGCAGATCAAGGGTAGACGTTACACAGTCAGGGCTTGGGTGGTGCAGAGCAGGCGTGATGACCTCTAAATATCATTGGACTGGGAGGTAGATTCGCATCATGTTTTGCGCGGACATCTACGTGTGATTCAGGCGTTTATTCAAGTTGATTATCCCCTCTTCCCCCTCCCCCTTCTCCTCAAAGTAATGACTGTGGATGTCTGACCTCGATGTCCAGACTAGGGTATCTTGCCGCGTCTTGTGTGAGCCATGCGGGTCCCATTTCAAGACTCGGCTGCTTGAGGCCACACGAATGGGCCAGAGAAACAACGTACCCACGCCTCCCTACACTCGCCCCCGACCCCCCCTCCCCAACCCCACTCCAAGCAGCAAACTGCGGCACCCCTGGCAGTCAGGCGGTGTGGAGGCACGAGGCCAGCAGGTGGGCGGGCGTGGTTATTGCGGGCTTCGCTCAAAGAGAGCACCACCCTCGTCCGACGAGGGACCTGCGTACAGGCAGGCAGGAAGCGTTTCGAGCTGTGCTAAGTGCGACATTTGGTGACAAGGCATTCGGCCACCCGCAGGGGGGCGAAACTGATCGCGGCGCGACGGTCGCGTTCTATGCCACAGAATTATCCTTTTCCAGGACGACGGCGCGCCGCAGGACTTTATCCCACAGCTTTGATTGTACACCACGACGAGATGCCACGACCAGAGATCACGGGTCACCGATGTGGGATCGCGCAGACGTCCCACCAGCCTCGGAAGTTTGGTGCGAAGGGCCCTGAAGACAAGCTGCCCGAGGAAGACCGGCTCATGCCGGCAGGAGAGCTGATTCGCACGCTGTGCCCAGCATTCTGCGGCAAGTTTTGCCACTGGGCCAGCGCGACATTCTCAGACATGCAGGATGACCCCTGAAATGGAGTAGCAAAATTGTGAGGGGTCGTCCGGGAAGAGACGCCACGATGTTGCAGCGCGTCGCGGCAGCAGTGTTGTTCGGTTGTTCACCACGTTACACAACTCGAGAGAGCTATGTCTTGAGACTTCTTCAGAACAGTTTCCTCGGGGCTTCTCGGGGCTTGGAGCCGGCTGAGGGGCCGAGGTGGCCAAGCTTTAGTTTTCGCCAGCAGAAATGGGGGAGGAAGGGGACCCCTCGTCGGCTGGTCGCAGCTCGAAAATCAGGAGGGGAAAAAACACAGACACAATTAATCGTCGATTCCCAGGAAAATATAGGAAAATATGCGAAGTGGGGGGGAAGACAAAAACCCAGAAAATATGGGAAAATACGGGGAATCCTGTTATTTGCTATTTGTCTGTCCCAGGGCCCCTTCAGAAAAAACTTGTCAGTTTCGACCCCGCGATGGGTTTTAAAACCGATTTAGCATTGGGAACAGATTGGGGGCATCTGGGACTCTTCGTGCGGGCAAGATGCGTATCCATATACACTGCGTCTTGGGCCTTCTGGGAAGGGGCGCCAGCAGGCCGAGGCGCAGTGGATGTGGATACGCATCTGGCCTTGAGGGGCCAGACTTTTGTCCAGATCCAGTGCGCCTCGGGTTAATGACGGATCCGAAGCTTCGGGCCGGCAGTAAGCCGAAGTTTCGGGCCGTTTGAAGTTGGTTTGGGGACGCCTTGAAGCCGTCCAGGGGCGGTCTTTAGCTATGCTTTTCTGTGGCCGAGGGGTGCGCCAGGAGCAGCATGTACCCAGAGGGGAGGCGTGATTCTACCAGCGCGCGCGGGGGCAGCGAGCGTTTTCGGTAGCAAGTCATGGGAGCCGTGCATGCCCTCGGAATTCCGCTTTGGGAGTACACTGGCCTGCGCCAGGTGGCGGCGAGATGTTGATGAGAAAGCGCCGATTTAGCGTCGATTGGAGTCGATCAGCGTCGATCAGCGTCGACTTAGCTTCTCTTAGCATGGATCAGCGTCCATCAGCGTCGATCCGCAAGAGCCAACAAGCTGGCATTTGAGGCTCCCACGAGTTGCCGTAGAAGGTGTCGCCCCTAGAAGAGGACAGAAACCCGAGCAGGCAGCTACCAGGCGTTCTGACACGCCACAACGTGCCGAACGGTCCGAGTCAGTTTTGGCTCAAGCAGATCCGGCACGAGTAATTTGCAGCATTTGGTTGAACAGTCCGTGGTCCGCAGTCTCGGTCTGGCCAGACTCCATTCGGCAGCCTCGGGGCCTCCGCCGAAGCCTGTCTCCAAATGGCGTCGGCGAACGCTCTCTCGATGGCTGCTGTCCTTCTCTTCACGCTGGCGGCCAACGGCAAGGTGGAGGACAAGTTCTGGGGTTTCCTTGACGACATGGCGAGGGAGGGGAAGGAGAGGAGCGATGCAACCACCGTGGCGGAGATACTCCAGCACGGTGGCAGCATACAAGTAGAGGATTGTGGCAGCAGAGCAGACGTGATGGACGTCACGAGCACGCAGTTCCGATTGGACCGCCTCCAGGTTCGCGCGTACGGGAACCTCTCACACGGCATCTCGGGGGGAATTATCAGCGTGAAGATGTACAAAAGCTCAGCGGTTGAAGGATCGTCGACAGGAGATTGGATGAAGCGCGAGCTCGCCTGGCACAGCATCCCGCACAAGTACGAGGAGGACTTGTGCGAACATTTCAGCAAGAGCCACAGCTCGCGTGGATGCCCCCTCCCCTCCGGTAGCACTGAGCTCCGCTTTGCCGTCGACAAGCTTCCGCCGATGGTTGTCGCGGGCGCCTACAAGTTGAAGATAGCGGCCGTCGACGCTTTCGCCAAGCCGGTGGCTTGCGTGCGTGCGCATGTGGAGATCCCGCGCGGGAAGAGCGGCGAGGTCTTCCGCAGGGTCCAAGGGGTAAGCACTGGCCACCGTGGACGTGCTCTGAAGTCTGCCACTGCGGATTGTTCTTGCGGCTTCTCTTCGGACCCAGTCTGCGGCGAAAATGGCAGAACGTACGACGGCATGTGCCAAATCGATTGCGCCAAAGTCAACGTTGCGTATGCAGGCAAGTGCGTCGATCAGACAGCAACTCATGATGGGCGGGAGCTCATGTGGGAGACGACTACCGAAGCGGACTGGGGCTGGGACGACGACGTCGACGAGTTGGACGACCACGACGACAATTGTTATGGCGGTGGCGTTTGGATGGACGGGCATTGCGAGACCATGGTCGACGGGTGCGGCAGCCCGACGCTCACCTCGGTCTTCGTGTTGGTGTTGGCGCTGCTGGAGTACCTCGCTTGGCGACATTGTTGAGCGAGACGAGGCGCGAGGATGGAGCCGATGTGGCATAGGCATCGCTCTTTTTCTTCCCCAAACGACCTTCGATCGCAGGTCATCATGACACTGTCTTTCTTCAGTGCCCAACCTTGGCAGAAGAGTGTATAATGATTAGAAAGTATTTCCCCAGTGCAGACGAATCACACGTACGTCATGGGGATGGGTGAGTCTAGCGTCTGGAGTCGTGTTCTCCCCGCGCTCCACGCAAAGAGTCAGGCTGTCGGTTCTTTCTGAGTGCCCGTATGTTTTTGGGCGTGGCTGCGACTGAGGCCGAACAGCGCCACACGTGCACCGTGGAGCGGGGTGATTTACAGCAGATACGTCTGCTCCTCTGCGTCATGTCATCCCCCCAGTCATTTTACAACCCTTGGCCGGTCTGACCCAGCCCGAGGGGTAGGATGGTTGAGAAGGGCGCGTCCCCATGATCTAGGTAGTGTTGTTAAGAGCGCGATCTGTGGCCGAACGCCCCCAAAGCTGGGCAACGACAGCCCTGACCTGGGAGGCAGCTGCAGCCGCGCCAGATGTTGATCTTACGAGCTTAGGCGCATTGGTAAACCAAAAAAACGTGACGCGGACACGGTGACAGGGAAGATTCCGTATAGCAAGATGTTTGTTGTTAAGTAGTGGAATTACGTAGTGACGCCGATATTTCGTTCGTTGGAGCATTCCGTTTTCGGACACAGGCCACCACACATCCAGATGAAGATCGGGACACAGATCGTCACCAAGCGACACATGATGGTGCCATCGCGGGGATGGGATAAGAAAAAGGAGCATGTTGTGGCAGATATTCATGCAAACGCGTCCCAGTCATGGCGTGAAGTGCCCAGTCTCCCGATGATGACACTTGTTGGTCCAGAATGGGCGCGCCTCTTCCTTGCCCTCCCCGTCTCCCCCTCAAGATGAGAGCATGAGGAGAAGAGCGATGAAAAGTTTGGAGGAGCCGCAGGAACAGGAAGAGGACAGAAAGGGAGCAGACCTAAAGTGCGCGAATCGCGCGCGCGTGGTTCTAGTCCACACTAAAAGGGACAACGTTGCTTCATTATTGCGAAGGCCTTGCGGCCGGTGCCGCCGACCTGAATGACGACGACGACGACGACGACGAGCGTTCTCGGGGGCCTCTTGGGGGTAGCTTGGGGGCATCTTGGGAAGCTCTTAGGAGCCGCTTGGGAGCCTGGTTGTGGGGGCCTCTTGGGGCTTCCTGGGAGTCTCTTAGGGGCCTCTTGGGGCCTCTTGGGGGGCTTCTTAGGGGCCTCTTGGGGCCTTCCTGAGAGCTTCTCAGACCGAGGGATCGAAATGCCCGTTCGGGTCCCCCGTCTGGGCTCCCTCTTGGAGCCGTCTTGGGGGCCTCCTCGGTTGTCTTGGAGGCCTCTTGGGCGGTCATGGGGCCCTCTTGGGTCGTCGTGGAGCTAGCTCTCTTGGAGGCCTCTTGAGGCATCTTGGGGCGGTCTTGGAGGCCTCTGGGCCTGTCTTGGAGCGTCGGGAAGCTGACAAGGCGAGAATGCTGATTTGTTTCAAAAACCTTGGGGAAATCTACGTTTTTTGCTCTTGGAGGCCTCTTGGGGCGTTCTGGAAACCTTTTGAGCCGTCCGGAGGTTACTTTGGCGACTTGAACCGATGCTTCGGCCATTCGGGGCCCTCGAAGACTGTCTTGGAGACATCTTGTAGCACTTTTGCCGCGTCTTAGAGCTTTTCTGGGCCCCCCAACCGCCCGGTGGGGAGTCGTATCTGCCCCGGGACCCCCCCCCCGGCGGGGAAGGGATCAAAGGGAAGGGGTTTCCCTTTCGATTAAACTACAACGTTGCTCAATTTCGCTGTGGCTGGCAGCCTCTTCCACACGCCGACAGGGTCGGCGGATTTTGAACGGGGAGGACGAGCCCCCCCTTCGGATCGGCATCAGACCGTGAGGGAAGGGAATGACAGTAAACACAGTAAGTTCGCATCGTGTCGACGAGGCGGCGATCTCGCCGTGGGCACTCAAAGTCAAACGCCAGTAGCCCAGAGTCGGCCGATGTCGATCAGCCCGCGCCGTAAGCTACGATCGCTCAAGGTTGAACGATCCACGCGGCGGCAGGAACCAACGCCCAAGTCGGCCCGACACGCATGCGTCGCAGAAGCAGTGGGCAGAGAAGGGCAAGCGCAATAGTTATAGCAAGAGCGCGAGAAAACGAGAGGGGCGAAAACGTGGCGAAGGGGCGAATATTGGAGAGGAAACCGGAGCGGTAGGCGCCGGAGGAGGGAGGAGGGAGGCAGGGACAACGTTCGAGGGGGAAGATTATTGAGGAGTAGGAGGATGAGGATCGATTATCGATCCTCCTAGTCCTCCTAGTCCTCCTCCTCCTCCTCCTAGTCCTCCTCCTCCTCCTAGTCCTCCGTTGGGACCTTCGGTCCTCCGAATCTGATGGAAGGATGTGGTGCAACCGCCAGGGCAGTCACGGTTTCCCTTTCGGCCGCCTTGTCTCCGGCCAGAGAAGGCTGCCCTTACAGCGGCAGCCGCCGACAGGCTTGTCGTGCGCCACAGAGATCAGGGGCAACGTTAAGAAGAGGACAGGCTCACGGTCTTCAACGGTTTTCGAAGATTCTCGGAGGTGTTCGGGGCCCGGGGCGGTTTCCATTAGCTGCGCCTCGTCGAGAGCCGAGGAAATATTGGTGGGGGATACGCTCAGGGGGAATGCATCAACCGCTAGTCGACAATTCATCGCCGATAGTGGCCCGACAAGCCTATGGCGCCTAGGAACGTGCGGTCTCGCTATCGGGGGGGCTATCGCCGATCTATCGGCGATGTTCCCCCCTAAGCAGGTCCCCCCGTGTCGCTGCACCTCCTTGTGTTGAAATTGATGGCGGCAGGTCCGTGCCCTGTCGACGCGACGGCGACCCCAGCATGGGCGTGCAAGGTTGAAGGCCGCTGGCGTCATCGAACGGCTTGTGCCATCGGGGAGCAGCGATCGCTCAAGGTTGGACGATCGACGCGGTGTCAGAATCCAACGACCGAGTCGCCGTGACGCGAGCATGCCGTGCTGTCTTCTGGCTTGTAGCCGCTCTGGGAGAGGGATGAGCGGATTGGACGAATGTCGGGATGGTCGGAATGGGTACGGAAAGAATGGGTACGAAGACCGACAGCAGTTCTTGCTTATTCTTAACAGGACTCGCTGTTGATGCCGCCGCGTGCCTTGCTCACTCACTTGAGACAGAAGGCCGCCTGCCCAACAGTGGCCGCTGTCAGTGTTGGACCGTTTGTTCTTGGGCATCATACCCATTTTGTTCCGTGCCTTTGTCTCGGCGGCGAGCGAGGGGGGGGAAGTGAGAAGGAGAAGACCTTCTGAGAAGGCGGCGGGGCTTCTCAGAAGCCCTCGCTCCTTCAGAGAGAAGCTTTCTCTGTGTCCCCGGGGACGGCCTGGAGAATTTCTCGGAAGGCGGGGGGGACTTCCGAGCCTTCTGAGCAGGCCTGCCCATCCTCACGCCCCCCCCCCCAGGCCCGCCGCCGATGGGGGGGGGATCACGACAGGGGGCGGGTGCACGAAAGCTGCTGCGTGCAGCCGGCCTCGGCCCCGCCGCCCAGCGCTTCCCTCGACGTCCCTCCGCCCCTCTGGCGCCGGCGGGCGCAGAGGGAACCGCCCACGCGCGCTGCTCCGCTGGAGCCCCCCGTGGCGACCCCCCGGGTCCGTGCGGCCCGAGATGGAGTTTTTCATCGGCGGCGAGCGAGAGGGGGGGAAGTGAGAAGGACAAGCCTTCTCAGAAGGCGGCGAGACTTCTCAGAAGCCCCCCGGCCTTCGGAGAGGTGTTCTGCGTTCGCGGGGAAGGCTGAGAAAACTTCCAAGAAGGCCAGAGGACTTCCGAGCCTTCTGAGAAGGCCCGCCACTTCTCTATCCCCCCCCCCGGCTCGCCGCCGATTGCGAAGGCCTTACGGCCGGTGCCGCCGACCCTGAAGACGACGACGACGACGACGACGACGACGACGACGACGGCGATGAAGGGCGAGGAGACGGATGAGGAGGAGGAGGAGGAGGAGGAGGAGGAGGAGGAGGAGGGGGAGGAGGCAGGAGGAGGAGGAGCAGAAGGAGGAGAAGGCCTCTTGGGATCCTCTTGGACCTCTTGGGGGCTTCTTGGGGCGTTTATGGTTGGGGCCTCTTGGGGCTTCTTGGGGACGTCTTGGGCCGTTTGGGGGCGCTCTTATGTTGTCTGGCCCCTTCGGATGCCATCTTGGAGGCCTCTCGCGGCCGCCTTGGGGCTCTTTTGGGGACCTTTTGGGCCGTCCTGGGGGCCTCTGGGACCGTTTGGGGGACCTCTTTGGGCTGTTTCGGGGCCCTCTTGGGCCGTCTTTGGGCCGCCTTGGGGGCTTCTTGGGCGGTCCTGGGGCCTTCTTGGAGGCATTGTGGGCCATGAAGGTCCTCTGAAAGCCGAGAAAGGCGATAATACAAAAAATTGTCAAAAACAAATGGAAAATCCATGATTTTGGCATCTGGAGGCCGTCTTTGGTTCTCCTGTGGCCCTCCTGCGCCATCGTGGGGGCCTCGTGGGCACTCTTGGGGCCACCTTGGGCTGTCTTGGGGCCGTCTTGGGGCCATTTTGGGCTATCGTGAGGCGAGCTTGAGGCCCAGGAAGCCGAAGAGGCCGAATTTGCTGATTTTCCATATGTTGTTGTAGGTTTTGCACCCCAGGATGAGGGTCGAGGGAAAACGAATCTGGGTGGCGACCCCCCCCCCGGGACCCCCCTGGGACCCTCCCCCCGCGCGGGGAAGGGATCAAAGGGAAGGGGTTTCGTTTCGATTCCACTCCTAGGTCATTCAATTTCATTGTGGACGGCCGGTCTGAGGAAGAGTGCCCAGGTGAGTGGAACGGCCAGTCTGAGGAAGAGGGCCCAGGTGAGTGGAATTCAGGAAAACGGAGACGACGAGTCGAACGGGAAAACCCGACTCGAACGGAAGAGCCCTTCACACATGCCGACAGGGTCGGCGGATTTCAATGTTAGGCTTGGGGTTATCAGGGCCGCTTGCCCCCCCCCCTGCCCAGAGAAACTTGCACCACGTAGCTTCCGCAAAACAGCCTGCACCGACCACACTGCACCACGACGTTGGCACCACACAGCTTGCACACAACATGCCTACCACATAGATTGCATCACGTAGCTTGCACAAGGTAGCTTCCACCACACAGATCGTACCTTAGAGCTTCCACCGCACAGACTGCACTACACAGCTTGCACACCAGGGCGCGCGAATTCCTCATTCTCTCACACTGGATAACCTGGGCTGTCACCGAAAAATGAAAGACGGTCTCATGAGAGGCGGGGCAGCGGGAGCAGGAGGAGCAGGAAGATCGAGAGGCGGACGGTTTCTTGTTTTTTTTTTGTTGGAGGGGGGGCTGGCGGGGGCTTCTGGAGTCCTGCGAGGGCCTCGGAGGTTCCCAGGGACCTCCAGGCGGGAGCGGCGGGACAGGGCTCGTGCTCCTCCTTTGTTGCTCGGGGCCAAAGGCCTCCATCCAGTGGGACGCGCGTTATCGCCCGTGTGTTTGCACGAAGGCCCAGCACCTCCGAGTTTACACGGCGTCTGTGCCTTCCACTTGGAGACACTGCAGTAGATCGTAGGCGTTCTTGTCTTGTCATCCTGCATGTCCTCCTCGCATTCAGACGCCCACGGCATACACCTCCTCTGGGGCCGTCTGCATGCTTGAGCGCCCCCTCCCTTGCAGGGCCCCTCTCCTTGAGAAGTCGCTCATGTCAGTCACTTAGAGCCAAACGTTTTTGCCCGTAACTTAGCTCTTCAATTCTCATGGCCCGATAGTTCTTTGCTCTGCTCTCCTCCTCGCACCCCCCCTTGCCATCCCGCCCCGCCGCACGGGTTGGCGGCAGCCGCTGCCCTTCAGGGCGGCCTGGGCATCTTCAACGTCTTGGTCGTGTTCGTGTTCGCACGCACGACCGTCTTCGCGACCATCGGCGCCTCGTTTCTGGCGCGCGCCGCGCGCCTCGGGGGGCGGGGTGGGAGGCACATCGAGCTGGTAGTTGTGAAAGTCTTCGCCTCTGGCGCCGGCACCACGCCACTGAAGCCCTTCGTCAGGCTCGTGCTCACGACCGAGGTCTTGGCCACCTCGGCGTCGTCGTCGTCGCGGGCAGACCCCGCGAAGAAGCTGACGCCTCCCAACTGGGACCAGATGATCTCGACGCGTCGCCGATGCTTCGGCGATGGATCAGCGACGAGTCCCGTTTCCGTATTGAATCGGCGCGTTGTTTCGTCAAATCAGGCGGCATTGATTTCACGTTTCGGCGTGTACGTTTCCCGATCCGTGGATCTGGCGCCCACGCGCCGGATCGACGGATCCGCAATCCATATCAGCGTGCACCTGGCGTATGCGACGGTAATATGGGGTGGACGGGAAGAGCCCATGGGAACAACAAAAACGGCAGAAGCAATATTTCGGAGGCCTTCGCGGATTTCCGAAAATTAACGTTCATACCGTGTTGTTCCTCATCCCCTTTGTCCGCTGAGATCCGACGGCGCGAAAAAGTTGCAACACCGGGAATCCGACCAGGACCCTATAGACCCAATCTTTCTGCTCCATCTTTCAGGCCGCATCGATCTGTGAGGGTCCCCAGGTCCGAAGCCGGGCGGAAACGCCCAGCTCGAAAAGATCAAGACGCCAGGATCTCAGGGTCCTTTTCTTTTCGGTGCCTCCCTGGGGCAGTTTGTGCTGCTCCACGCGGGCTTCCACAGCGTCCCCTCCAAGGCCAAGGACAAGGCTTCGCAGGCTCCGCCGCCCCGCCCAGAGCGAGGGCCGCCGCCGCTGTCGCCGACGAGGCCGTCGCCGCCGTCGAGGTCAACGCCGCCGTCGACGTCACCGACGAGGATGCCTGGGCTCTAGTCCAGGCCTCCTAGATGGGGTCGGAGCAGATGGGGTCGGATGATCGCGCCGCATCGCCGATGCATCGCCGACGCATCGGCGATGCGGCTTGCTTTGGAGCCCGACCTTCTCCACGCCGACCGCGCCGATGCATCGCCGACGCATCACCGATACAGCGGCTCCGACGCAATCTATTCCGACCCCATCTGGGAGGCCTCTGAAGATACCCGGGAGCTCAGACCCCTTCGCGTCGTGAAAGGTTCACGACGGGCAGATATTGACGCTCTTCGGCCTCCGGGGGCCCGGACTTGGCACGGGTGCTTTTGTAAAACGGCTTGGGATGAAGAATTGGCGCCAAGGAAGTGATCGAGACTCCTGGTCGGGCGTCGAGGAGTGGGGACGCGGTGACTGGGGGGGAGTGAAGAATGGTGCACCTTTTTGCTCTCTAAAGGGCTCCCCCTGGGGTCCAAGAGGCGCACGAAAGGTGAACTCGCCCCCCTACAGTCAAAATCCATAGTAATCCTTAGGGTGCCCTTGCGTCCTTGCCTCTGCGGCCCGTCCTTCGCGGTTTTCAATGGCCAGCCCTTCAGGGTGTTGGCGGCCCGCCGCCCCAACATTGCCGAGTTCGGCGTCCAAGGCGAGGGTTTTTTTCTCCGGGAAAAGGGTTATTTTTCCGGGTGAAATGGTGCCACAGAGATTTCCCATCAGTCTGGCTTCTTTTGCCGGAGAAGCAACTCTTCTTGGGAATAGTACTAAACTACATGTGGCGACCAAGTTGGTAGCAGTTCGTAGCTAGCAGCTCGTAGTTAGGAGTTAGCAGATAGTACGTAGTAGCTGGTATTTAGTTATGAATAGTGGTCCGACCATAATTAACAATCCGTTGTTAGTAGCTGGCCGTATGTAGTAAGTAGTTAGTAGCTAGTAGGTTGTAGGCAGTAGTTAGTAGCTAGTGGCTTGTAGTCAGTGCTTAGTAGTCGTAATAGTAGTAGTAGTAGTAGTAGTAGTAGTAGTAGTAGTAGTAGTAGGAGTAGGAGTAGGAGTAGGAGTAGGAGTAGGAGTAGGAGTAGGAGTAGGAGTAGGAGTAGGAGTAGTAGTAGTAGTAGTAGTAGTAATAAGAATAGTAGTTGTTGTAGTTGTAGTAGTATTGGTCGTAGCCGTAGTAATAGTAGTAGTAGGAGGAAGAGGAGAAGTAATAGTTGGTGGTTAGTAGCTAATGCTTAGTAGTAGCAGTAGCAATAGTAGTAGTAGTACTACTACTACTATTATTACTACTACTACTACTACTAAGGTGGCAGTAGCAGTAGTAGTCGTAGTGGTCGTAGTAGTACTAGAAGTAGTAGTAGTATTGCATAGAAGTAGTAGTCGCAATCGTAGTAGTAGTAGTAGTACTAGTAATAGTAGCAGTAGTAGTAGCAGTAGTAGTAGTAGTCGTAGTAGTCGTAGTAGTCGTCGTAGTCGTCGTAGTCGTCGTAGTAGTAGTAGCAGTAGTAGTAGTAGTTGTAGTAGTAGTAGTAGTAGTAGTAGTAGTAGTAGTAGTAGTAGTAGTATTACCAGTCATAGTCGTCATCTTAGTCGTCGTATATTAGTGGTAGAGGTAGGAATAGTAGTAGTAGCCGTCGTATTTGTAGTAGTAGTCGCAGTCGTAGGCGTACTCGTAGTCGTAGTCGTCGTAGTAGTAGTCGTAGTAGTAGTAGTAGTAGTAGTAGTAGTAGTAGTAGTAGTAGTAGTAGTAGTAGTAGTAGTAGTAGTAGTAGTAGTAGTAGTAATAGTAGTAGTAGCAGCAGTAGTAGTAGTAGCAGTAGTTGTAGTAATAGTATCCTTGAGGACGGCGACGGCCATACGACCACCAGCCAAACAACCAACCAACCAACCAACCAACCGAGAGCTCAAGCCGTCAACGCCATCCGCCGCACGCTGGAACAAGCCAGCGTGCAGCAGGGGCTCGGACTTCCCCCTCTCTCTGAAGCTACCCGTTGATCCCTCCGCAGAGAAACAGCGCCCTGAATCTATCTTTGAGGACGACGACGGTGTGGCCATACGACCACCATCCAAAAAACCAACCAACCGGCCCACCTGACAGGGGAACGGCCATGGCATCACGGAATCAAAGGGCAATCCCAGAGAGCTCAAGCCGTCAACACCATCCGCCGCACGCTGGAACAACCCAGCATGCAGCAGGGGTTCGGACTTCCCCTTCTTTCTGAAGCTACCCGTTGGTTCTTCCGCAGAGAAACAGCGCCCTGAATCTATCCTTGAGGACGGCAACGGGGCGGCCATACGGCCACCAGCCAAACGACCAACCAACCGACCCGCCCTGCAGGGGAACGGCCATGGAATATCGGAATCAAAGGGCAACCCCAGAGAGCTTAAGCCGTCAACACCACCCGCCGCACGCTGGAACAAGCCAGCTTGCAGAAGGGGCTCAGACTTCTCCCTCTCTCTGAAGCTACCCGTTGGTCCCTCCGCAGAGAAACAGCACGGTGAATCTACCCTTAAGGACAGCGGCAGGGCGGCCGTACGACCACCAGCCAAAGAACCAACCAACCGGCCCACCTGACAGGGGAACGGCCATGGCATCACGGAATCAAAGGGCAACCCCAGAGAGCTCAAGCCGTCAACACCATCCGCCGCACGCTGGAACAAGCCAGCGTGCAGCAGGGGTTCGGACTTCCCCTTCTTTCTGAAGCTACCCGTTGGTTCTTCCGCAGAGAAACAGCACGGCGAATCTATCCTCGAGGACGGGGCGGCCATACGACCCCTAGCCAAAGAACCAATCAACCGACCCGCCTTGCAGGGGAACGGCCATGGCATCACGGAATCAAACAAAGGGCAACCCCAGAGAGCTCAAGCCGACAACGCCATCCGCCGCACGCTGGAACAAGCCAGCACGCAGCAGGGGTTCGGACTTCCCCCTCTCTCGGAAGCTACCCGTTGGTCCCTCCGCAGAGAAACAGCACGGCGAATCTATCCTTGAGGACGGCGACAGGGCGGCCATACGACCACCAGCCAAAGAACCAACCAACCGACCCGCCGCGCAGTGGAACGGCCGTGGCATCACGGAATCAAAGGGCAATCCCAGAGAGCTCAAGCCGTCAACGCCATCCGCCGCACGCTGGAACAACCCAGCATGCAGCAGGGGCTCGGAATTCTCCCCCTCTCTCTGAAGCTACCCGGTGGTCTTTCCGCAGAGAAGCAGCGCCCTGAATGTATCCTTGAGGACCGCGACAGGGCGGCCATACGACCACCATCCAAAAAACCAACCAACCGACCCGCCCTGCAGGGGAACGGCCATGGAATAACGGAATCCACGGGCAACCCCAGAGAGCTCAAGCCGTCAACGCCATCCGCCGCACGCTGGAACAAGCCAGCCACTTTTGACACACAGCGTGGACTTTTCAACTTTGAACGAACTCCGCCGTCGGAGGTCACCCGAGGATGTGGACCCCATTGTTCGCGTGGATTTCGCGCCGTGTGCTGATTTCTGCGTGTCCCAGGAAACGTTCAACCTCCTTTCCCTCTCCTCCTTCTCCTCCTCCTCCTGATATTCCTCTTCCCCGTGGGTTTCAAGACAGCAGCGCGCGCAGCGTCTAAGACACGAACGCCTGAGGCATAGAGATGATATTGCGATTCGTCGTGTCTGGCGTTTCAGCGTTGCACAATAAGCTGTGATCGATGGCAGATCGAGGAAGCCCTGCAAGGCTCCAAACCACGTTGCGGAGCCGCTGGGTCTTCGGGTCGTCGTCCTAGGAGACGGCTCGAGGAAGCCAGGGATATGTTTAGGGGGGCATTGGAGACGCCAGCGACGACGACAAAGACGAACGCGAACACGAAGACGACGACGACGACGACGACGACGACGACGGCCTCTGTCCTTCTCCCCCTCTCCTCCCCCCTCCCTCCTCCTCACCCAGCCTGTCCCACCCCGCCCTCCTTCAGCCGTGGCCCGAAGAACGCGAGCCCCCTCGCCGAAGGCCAAACGCCCCAGAGGGATGCCAGACACCGACAAACATCCCACGGCGGGGGGTCAAACAGCGAAGTACAGAAGGGTACCCTTCCGAAGAAAAGGTTGTCATCAATAGTCATGCCAGATGCATGTCGCCATCCTGGCAACATGTCCCACTAGCCCTCCTGGGCGCAGGTGGCCTAACGATGTCGTGCTTTCCTCTTCCAAATGCCAATCTTCCCTTCGGGGAGGAACACCACCCCCCTCTCTGAATGCTTGTTTGGGGCGCCCAGAGGCTCCAAGAGAAGGCCTAAGATGGCGCCGAGATGGCATCAAATGGTTCCGAAGACGGCTCCAAGTGAGCTGTCTTCGCCCAAGAAAGTTCCACGGTGTTTGGTGTCTGGTGTTTTGTGGTTGGTGTCTTGTGTGTTGGTGCTTGGTGTTTGGTGCCTGGTGCCTGGTGCTTGGTGCTTGGTGTTTGGCGTTTGGAGTTTGGTGTTTGGTGATTGGTGTTTGGTGATTGGTGTTTGGTGTTTTGTGTTTGGTGCTTTGTGTTTGGTGTTTGGTGTTTGGTGCTTGGTGCTTGGTGCTTGGTGCTTGGCGTTTGGCGTTTGGTGTTTGGTGTTTGGCGTTTGGTGTTTGGTGTTTGGTGTTTGGTGCTTGGTGTTCGGTGTTTGGTGTTTGGTGTTTGGTGTTTGGTGATTGGTGTTTGGTGTGTGGTGATTGGTCTTTGGTATTTGGTCATTGGTTTTTGGTCTGGTTGGGGATTGGGGGTTAGGGGTTGGTGTTTGGTGTTTGGTGTTTGGGGTCTGGGGTCTGGGGTCTGGGTATGGGGTCTGGGGTTTGGGGTTGGTGCTTGGTGCTTGTGCTTGGTGCTTGGTGCTTGGTGCTTGGTGCTTGGTGTTTGGTGTTTGGAGTTCGGAGTTCGGAGTGGGGGTTGGGGGTTGAGGGTTGGGGGTTGGGGGTTGGGGGGGTGGGGGGTGGGGGGTGGGGGGTGGGGGGTGGGGGGTGGGGGGTGGGGGGTGGGGGGTGGGGGGTGGGGGGTGGGGGGTGGGGGGTGGGGGTTGGGGGGGGGGGGTGGGGGGTGGGGGTTGGGGTGGGGGGTGGGGGTTGGGGGGTGGGGTTGGGGGTTGCGGGTTGCGGGTTGCGGGTTGCGGGTTGCGGGTTGCGGGTTGGGGGTTGGGGGTTGGGGGTTGGGGGTTGGCGTTGGTGTTTGGTGTTTGGGGGTTGGGGGTTGGGGGTTGGGGGTTGGGGGTTGGCGTTTGGTTCGTGGTGTTTGGGGATGGCGGGAAAACTTGTGAGGGTTTCACCTGGAAAAGGAACGGACCCAGCATTTGCCTCATTTCACCCGGAGAAGTAACCTTTTTCCCGGAGAAGTATCCTTTTCCCCCGAGAAGACATTTTTCCTGGCGTCCAAGGCCTCTGCGTCCTCACTGCCCGTTCTTATTCACCAGGCTGGGAATGAGGGCTTTGGTTGGGGGGTTGGGCGGGGGGGTGACTAACATGGGGGGTAAAAAAGCTCAAGCTCTGGATGGGCCCTTCAGGACCCCTTTCTTCACCCCTCATTTTGGTCACTCCCCACGACCGCCCGCCCGAAGGGTGGGCGCCGGTTGCGCTGTCCAGACGGGCCGTCGCCGCGAGCCCCTGGGTGGGCCCGGGACAGAGGCACGGCCCTCCAGAACGCGCTGGGACGCGCTCGGAGCGCTGCGGAGGCCTCTGGGACTCGGCACACAGATCGAAATGGGTACGGAAAGAGCGGGTACAAAGACCTACAGCAGTTCCTGTCCATTTTGACTCGCTGTCGATTCGCCGCGGACGTTGTTCATTTTAAGCAGAAGGCCGCCCGCCCGACAGCGGCCGCTGTCAGTGTTGGACAACATGTGATGTTGGGCGTCGTACCCATGTTGTCCGTATCGATTCCGGGCGTCAGAAAGGCCGCAGCGCCCGATGCATTCTCCAGGAACAACGTTGTGGGGGGATACTCTCTCTGCCTTCCTCGTTGTTCCTTTTTGTTCTTCTTCGTTGCCCTCTTCTCCTCCCATCCGGACAGTTCCTGCGTGGTGGAGGCCCCTTTCCCCATAAGTTGGGAAGTTGGCAGTTCTCTTCATTCGAGCTGCTTCTCGTTGTCTTTCCGAGCCCTACGAAAACATGATGGAGGGGATACGTAGGCTCAGGGGGGAACGCATCGACCACCAATCGCCCATTGAGCGCCGGCAGGTTCCGATGGCCCTCCCCGCCCAGGACTGTGCGCTTTTGCCATCGGGGACCTATCGCCGATCAATCGGCGATGCATCGCCGATTCCAGGTCGACGCTTCCCCCGTGAGCGAGTCCTCCCCACGCCTAACGTTCCCCCTCAGTCCTCTGTGAGTCGCCGGATCTCAAAGATCCTCGATCTGGCCCGGTCCAATGGTGTCCTGGCCCTGGCTTCGGCTCACGCATGCGCGCGCGAGGAGGGCGACCCGGAGGCGTGAGCGCGGCGCGCGGCGCGGCCCTTGCTGCGCCGGGCGCTGGGGGGTCTCCAGGCCTGGTCGCGATGGATGGAGAGGGGTCATGAGGTCGCCTTCGAAGCAAGCGGGTCCTGGAGGACGCGGGTCCCGAGGCTTCTTCTCCCTTTTTCCTATTTCCCGAGGCCCTCCACGGGCCCAGGGACTGTCAGAGCACGTCTCCCGATGAAGAGTTGGTCTTGGGGGGAAGGCCCAGGGTCCAGGGCCTTTCTTTTTGCAGTACCCGTTTGCTTCATGCCAATAGACATATCACGGGGGACCGGGTCCGGGGGCCGGGGGCCAGGACCCCGACCGCAAATGTAGGGCCTGGCGCGCCGGGAGCCTTGCCGGAGCGCTGGGGGCCGTCCAAGATCGCCCGAAGATGGCTTCGGAACGCTCGAAAACGCGGTCCGATAGCTCCGGATGCCTTTCAAGACGATTGCCATGACGCCAAGCAGGCCCCCGAAGGCGCCCCAAGGGGCACCCCAATAGAGCCCCAAATAAGCAAACATCGTCGATTCCCGATAGGGAAACTTATATTTGTGACGTGTTCGCCTTTTGGGCTTCCACTGCGTCCAAGACGGCACAAGAGGCACTCAAGACGGTCGAGGATGCCCCAAAGAGGGCTCCAAGACGGCCCACGAGGGGGCCAAGACGGCCCACGAGAAGCCTAAACCGCCCAAGAACGCCCCAAGTCGGCGCCCAAGACGGGGACGAGGAACCGAAAATGCGAGCAATTTGGCCCAAGAGGCTCCCAGGAGACCCCAAGAGGCTCCAAGAAGCGCCCAAGAAGCCCCAAGAGGTCCCCAAGAGACCCGCAAACACACAAAACGAGGCCCCGAACACGCCCCAAGGGGCACCCCAATAGAGCCCCAATAAGCAAAAACCGTCGATTTCCGATCGGGAAACTTCTATTTTTGGCGTGTTCGCCTTTTAGGTTTCCACAGCGTCCAAGACGGCCCAAGAGGCACCCAAGCCGGTCGAGGATGCCCCCAAGAGCGTTTTGGCCCAAGAGGCCCCCAGGAGACCCCAAGAAGCGCCCAAGAAGCCCCAAAAGGCCCCCAAGAGACCCGAAAAAAATACCAAAAGAGGCCCCGAAACAGTCCCCCAATGGGCCCCCAAAAACGGCCCAAGAGAGCCCCAGGGCGCGCCCAAGAGGGTCGACCAGAGAGTTGGTCCAACTTTCCACACTCTACACAGGGTCCGTCCCCGGCGGTGCCTCAAGCAGGTGTTGCCACTGGAGTCCTCACTTGCCTGAGACGAACTCCAAACAATTTTTCGCACAGCGATTCCTGTGTCTGTGACACGCTAGAACCTAAGCGAGCGCGAAGCGCGCGCGTGCTTCTAGTACATAAATGTATTAATTAATGTATGTATGCATGCATGCATGCATGCATGCATGCAGGTAGGTAGGTAGTATATATATATATATATATATTATAGAGAGAGACGCGGGATAGTAAGGCCAGGGCTGGACCTAAACGCTGTTTTGCTTGACTTCGGCTGTGTTTTGTTGTTTGGTGTTGGCAGGGGGTAGAGGAAAACAGGTCGAGCAGAACGAAGAACATAAGGAAAACACAACGAAAAAACAACGTAAGGCAGCGACGTTTAGGTCCAGCCCTGAGTAAGGCAGCGACAGCGCTCACCTCTACGACCTCCCTTCGGGTGATACGGGAGGTTGTTGGGGGGGAACCAATTGATGACAACCGCGATGATTGTGATGGTGGCGATGGAATTGGTAGTCCATCGGGATACCACGGTGACACCATCGGCACACCAATCGGGACACCAATCGGGACACCAATCGGGACACCAATCGGGACACCACGGGAACACCATCGGAACATCACCAGGACACCATCGGGACACCACCAGGACATCATCGATACACCATCGTGACACCACTACGGGACACCCCAGGCAGCCGCCAGCCAACCCGGAAGGGGGGCGTGTTTTTTGGTCTTGCCGCGCCTAGCTCGAGGAGGGTTCATTCCTCGCGCCCGCCCACGCAGCGTCGCCTCACCCGCACGCACGGCACGAAACCGAAATCGATCTCCAGGCTGGGAGCTCTCCGTTCCACTGCGATCTTACCCCCCAGCCTCGGACAGCCAAGATCCAGGAATAAACAACATGTCGGGTTCATGGAGGGGCTACGGTTCGGGGACCCTCCCTCGGATCTAAATTCTAGGTCGGGGAAGCTCGTCGTGACCGAGGTTCACCGTGGCCAGACGTGTTCCTCCGTTCCTTAGTCAGTGTTCCTTATAGCAGCACGATGACTGCAAGCCTACCTGAGGCGTGGTTCCCACGGCCCCCTTTCTGGTTTCCGAACTCCCCCCACTGACGCATTGACCCTATAGCGGGGCCGTCAAGTCGCTGTCGTGCCCCGAGACGCGGGTCCTGAGGCTTCTCACGTCGTCTTCAAGCTCTCGGGGCCCTCTTCGGGCCCCAGCGCCATCAAGACGAGGGCTCGGGATGGAGAACTGGCCCATGGGGGAGAAGTCAGGGACGCCGACAGGGCGGGAGGCGGGGGTGAGTGGCCCACGGGCGAAACATCGGCCCCCAGACGCCCGTTCCTCGCCAATCGGGGCCTGGGTGCCCCAGTGCGCCCAGGAGCGCGTGGCTTCCTTGACCCAAGCAGGACTTCAGTATTGTCCCCCCCCCCTGTTTCTCCAGGCGGGGAATAGTTAAACTCCGCCCCTCCTCCTCCTCCTCCTCCTCCTCCTCCTCCTCCTCATCCTCCTCCTCCTCCTCCTCCCCTTCCTCCTCCTCATGTCTTCTTCCTCCTCCTGCATCGCCGAGCAGATGGCGATGCGTCGCCGATTCCAAGGTCAACGTTCCCCCCGCCCCTGAGCCTGTCCACGCCCGGCCACTCCCCCTCGGCCCCGAGATCCAGAGCCCGCTTTTTTCAGGACCCCGCTTCCTTCCATGCCAGTCCGGGTCCACGGGCGCGCGGTGAGCGCGGCAGGGACCTCTGAATTCGGCGCGCTCGACCTTCGCCTCCTCATCCGCCGGGCCTCGCCCCCCGGAGGCAGGGGAGTAGGCCAGCCATTCCTCGTCCCCGCCCCTTCCCATTCCTCTGCTCTCCCTCCTCCCTGCCTTCCGTGCTCCTTCGTCCCACTTCCCCTCCCTCCTCCCACCCCCCTCCACCTGTCCCTGTCCTCCTCCCTCCTCCTCCTCCTCCTCCTCCTCCTCCTCCTCCTCCTCCCTCCTCCTCCTCCTCCTCCTCCTCCTCCTCCTCCTCCTCCTCCTCCTCCTCCTCCTCCTCCTACTCTCATGTTTGTCACCCGATCCGTCGGGCTCAGGATGCAGGGAATGAGTTGTGCTCGAAGGCCCCCAAGCTTGGAAGCACTTAGTTGAAGCTGGCTGTTGCAAGGACCAAGGGTAACTTAGAGGCTCGTCGCAGTGCGCCCCGAAACCCGGAGGTGGTGGGGCCGCGCGCCCCGTGGCCATCCAGCGGTGTCATGGCTGTCAGCGCTTCGCTGTGAATGTTTTGGCGGGTCCGCCTGTGGGTTTGTTCATAAGCGTGATGGGGTACCCTCCGACGGGGGTCAACCTCGCCTCGTCGTCGCGCCGCGACGGGGGTCGAAGCGCCTTCGGCGCGCGGTGGCTGCCCGCGACGGGGGTCGATGTGGGGCTGTCGGCGGGGGTGACGCCCCTCCGACGCTTACTGAGAAACTCGGAGTAATCATCTCACGCTGGGGGCTGGCGGTCTGGAGAGGTGCGATTCCTCGGAGGCCAGCTGCACCTCGCGACCTTGGGGCCCAGCGTCTGCCACACACAGCTTGCTGGATCATCCAGGCATGTAGGGGACTCAAAGGGGAGAGCATGGAGTAGAAACCCTCCTGCGCAATCGCATTCGGCGGCAGGGGGACGCCCCAGCAAGGCCCAGGGAGGCCCACTCCCAGGAGGGGCTCCCCAGGCTCGGGGAGGAGGGCCCCGGAAGTCCCCAGCGGAGCCCCCAGGGCTTGGAGGTCGTGGCGTGCTTCCGGAGAGGGGCGTGGCTTTCGGGCAAGAAATGAATGGGAGGAGTCAGGAGAGGGAGGAGGAGGAGGAGGAGAAGGTGGAGGAGGAGGAGGACGGAGGAGGAGGAGGACGGAGGAGGAGGAGGAGGAGGAGGAGGACGGAGGAGGAGAGGACGGAGGAGGAAGGTGGAGGGAGAAAGTCGTAATTAAGGGAGGAGGGAGGAGGGCAGAGTCCCGGAGGGCGGAGAGAGGCAAGCGGAGTAGGCGGAGCACGACGAGAAGGAGCAGGGAGGAGGAGGAAAGAGGAGGAGGAGGAGCAGGAAGGTGAGGAAGGGGAAGGGGAGGGGGAGGACCAAGCTAGGTGCTCCCATCCCTTACCATGGCGTAGATATCCTCTCTATTCGCGCGGTCGGGTGTCTTAGCATGGCATAGCATTACGTGGCAGAACATGGCATTGAAGATCAACGCGTAGCATGACAGAGCATGGCGCGGAATTTCGTAGTAAAGCGCTACATATGAGAGCATTGCAGCTGAAGGCATGGCGTCACACAGCGGAACACACCAGAGCATTGCATTGCATGGAGGGCAAGGAAGAGGAAGTACCTCCACAGGGGCCGGGGCAGCACGTCCTGGTCCTGCAAGCGCCAACGACGATATCCGCGCAATATTGGCCGCCGCTGTGGCTAAGAGCCTGGCGAAGAGCCCGCGTCGCTCAGGACGGGCAAAACGGCAACAGGTTTGAGCACTGGCGAACGCTGCTGGCCGACACCCCTGCTCTGGGGGCGGTGGTCGGGGTCGTGGTCGCCTTCTTGCTCGGCGAGCTCAGTCCAGAGGCCACCCACGCGAACCTGTGTGCTAAGCTTCAGGCCCAGCGCAAGCGCAACGGGACCTTTGGCCGACCGCCTGCGGTTCCGCGCTCTGCCGCCTCACTGCGCGGGCCGCTGTTGATTGATGTGTACGGGAAGGACATATTGTCGTCTGTACAAAGAGCAGCCGGCCCCTACCACTACGCCAGCGGGCGCGCGGCGGGGTGCGAGCTCGCGCACAAGTTTTGAACCGCCCTCTTCGTGGTTTGCCCACGCAGGGTCGCCTTGGCGTTCGACTGCTCCAACGCATAACGCTCCTTTCCGCGCGGCAAGGTCCTAGACAGCGTGCGCCAGCGGGCCCCCCGTCCGTTCCAGACCACCCACCACTGGCCCAAGGAGACCCCCAGCACTGCTGGTGAGACATCCTCGGAGACGGCGCCCGCCGCGATCGAGCCGATAGTGGCGTGGATCAGGGGTGCCCGCTCTCCTCGCTGGCGCTCTTCGCGATACGCATTGCGGCTGCTCTCGGCGAATTCTACACGCTTCTCTAGGCCTTCTCGCCCTTTCCTTGCAAAGTGTCCAGCTACCTTACCTCGACGACAGCATAGTGTTTTGCCTCGCCTGTGTGTGCAGACGGAGCCATGCGACTCCTAGCTGACATTTCCCGAGGCGCGGCCTAGCAGTCAAACGGGCCAAGAACCAGGCGTGGTCAGCGGGAGGGCGCGACCACTTGAATGTCACCGTACGATCGCGCTGGGTTGACCACCTGGCGCGCTTCGGGAACACGGGCCCCCTGGCTCCAACAGGAAGAGCAAACGGTGAACGTCCACGCTGGCCTGGACGGGGCCACATTCGTGGCCAAGGCCGCGGCCTTCGGAGCACCCCTACAGGAGTTGCAGCAGGCGGGCTTCCGTGCCGAAAGCGTTTACAGCCAACCCGCAGAATAAAGATGGGCAACCTAACCTTCCCAAGGTTACCCTTGCGTACTTTGACCCTTGGGCCCATCCTTGGTCATTTTCGCTAGCCAACCTTGTTTGGAAAACGTTCGCCTGGGCCTCCAAGGCTCTTGTACCCTGACCGCATCCTTATGATACGGGTCGACTGCACTCTGTGGCAGACCTTCTCTGGCGGATGCGTCACGCGCAACCATGGCGCCAACATGGACCTCGTGCTTTCCGGTTGCCTCGATCAGTTTGTTGGCGAACTTTTGGACCTCCACCAGCGCCTTGCCGACCGTTCGCGCACCCTCCAAACCTCGCTTCGCTTTGCCGACAGTTCGCTCGCTCTCCCTTCGGTTTCCTTGACGGCGCCCGCCGCCAACGTCGCCGGCTGGTCCACGACTAATGATTTGCCTCGGGGCCAACACGTTGAAAGACTTCTGGGCCAGAGGTGCAAGACGTGAGGAGGAGGGGGATGGGGAGGAAGACAAGGAGGAGGAGGAGGAGGAGGAGGAGGAGGAGGAGGACCAGTGCAGACCCAACACGCAACAGCGATGTTGTCATGAGCCATTATCCCCAGCTCTTTCTTTACAGGGCCCTACAAAATTATAGTTTCACAACGGGTAATCCAAGTGATTGCTGCGTCCTTGTAATCCAGAACCGTGCCAGGAAAAAGAGCACGGGGACTTCAGCACTGCGAAATGAAGTGGTTGTTGCATTTTGGCAATCATGAGCGTCACCAGAATACCGTTTCTGGGACGTTGACCGTGCGAATCCGCAAGACGGTCGCACGCGTTCCAAACGCATGCGTGCGGCGGGAAGGCGGGAGCAAGCCTTTGAAGAAGAACCGCCTTTCCTCGTTTGAAACTTCAGGACGAATGCGCGCGGCGTTCAGGCGAACATAGCATTTGAAAAGGACACGGTGTATGACGAATTTGTACTGCGTTAAAGCGAGAGGCGCATATTGAAAGCCACTCGCCCTCCAGATTTTACGCGCATGCAGACTTCACTCAGGTTGCAGGATCCTTGTCACAGGGGAAATCTGAGGCGAAACGCCTGGCCCGCCGTACCCACACGTTTGGGGGTGCGACCGGGAGGCGTTGTTTAGAAGGAAAAGAATGGAGGAGGAAGGGGAGGGGAAGACGAAGGACAAAAGTATGAAGAACAATCAGAGGATGAAACAGAAAATAAGAAGAAGAAGAAGAAGAAGAATAATAAGAATAATAAGAAGAAGAGGAAGGGGAAGGAAGAGAGGAGGAGAAGGAAGAGGACGAAAAAGAGGTGGTGGGCGGAGGTGGCAGGGGCCCTCCGCGCAAAACTCGGGGCGGGTTTCGACTGGGCAAAGGGGGGGGGCGGCCTTCCCCCGCGAGTGCCCTCCCCTTCGTCCAGCGCTTCGGTTTTTCGAAGCACGGGACCCCCGACCTTTCTTCCCTAGGGAGTCCTTAGGGATTTCCCTAGGGGTTTCCCTAGGAATTCCCTACGGATTTCCTGGGGATTCCCCAGGGATTCCTAAGGATGTCCTACGGATTCCCTCGGAATTCCTAAGGAGTACCTCGGGATTCCCTCGGGGGCCTGGTTTCTCGTATTCAAGGCCGCTTTTGGACGAGTTCTCGGGGCATGGTACCGACCTTGCGGAGGCCGAGAGAGAGAGAGAGAGGAAACACTGGAGGAATGCGGGATTCGGAAGCCCGGGGGCCCTGCACGGGCTTCAGTCACAAAAGCAGCACCGGGGGGTTCGGTACAGCATCCTTGAGTATTGTATTCGGTTCCGCCCCGCTCGAAAAACGTCAACATGGCTTTCCAAGGCCCGTGCATCTTTACCGCGCATCTTTGCTATATCATCTAGATCCTCTTTACTAAATAGGTTGAACATTCGAAAAGGGTCTCGGTCAAACGCAGAAGGGTTTCGGCATCACGCGCAGGGGAGTCGGTATCACGCGCAAGGGTCTCGAAAGCACGCGCAAGGGTTCGGTAACACGGGGAGCGGATATGGCAAAACCGGCAAGGGTTACGAGAAACGGGCATTACGGTAACACGGGCAAGGGTCACAGTATCGCAGCGTTTCGGTAATGCGGGCGCTAACGTAGTACGGGTTTACGTGGCCGAATCTGGCCTTAGTAGGTGCCGTCCGGTTCTTCTGTTTGTCTTCTTCGTTGTTCCCCATCTTGCTCTTCAATAGGGCAAATGGATCCTTATTATCGTGTGTTTGTTCGGGCCACAAAACGATATCACACTTGCAGAGTTTGCGTAATTGCACTGTGGCAGACGCAATGAAAGAGGAAAGCAATAGAAATCCCACCAGCCCT